TCCTCTCATGGACTCGGCGAGTTTTGTCCATGGCAACACTCATTTGACCTTCTGAGGTCAGATCTGTTTCTCTAACTTATAGATCTGGCCTTCTAGCACCCAAAAGTCACGTAAAGGTTCAACCTTTATGTCCATACACCACACAACAAGCTCTATTTGATGAAATAACCCTCAAAATGGTAACCTAGACCCAAAACTCTTATGGGACTGCATAAAGCTGGAAGATTGGGACTCTCTGGATCTCTCAAGGTCCAGATATAATGTCTATGCGTCAAAGGACTCTACATGCTCCATAATCTCTACGAAAAATGGGTAAAGAAACCCTAGATTCATGAGATCTACTTTATACACGAAAATAGGCATGGATTCATACCTCAAAACAACAACCTTTGAAGAAGTGATAGTAGATCTCAGCTCCTCAATCAGCCTAGCTTGAATCCCCTCCTTCCTTCTTGCAAGAATGCATTAATGGTGATGTAATTCTCCTTCTCTCACTCTCTATGCTCTCTGGTTCGTTAGGGTCTCTCAAGTGTGTGTGTGGCCGCAAATGCAAATGAAGGCCATAAGGGCCTTTAAATAGGTCACAAACCTGGGCAATTAGGGTTTCTCTGCCCAGCACCTACTCGGCGATTCCCTCATCTGACTCGTCGAGTCCACTCATTAAATCCACGCGAGCAACTCGACTTGACTCGGCGAGTTGGTCCCTCAACTCTCGAGTCCCTCCTTCAATCTCAAGATTAACATACACAGTAATGTTCCTGAAAATCCGGATGTTACAATATGTTTACCGAGCAGAGCTCGATGCTAGGCGGGGCATGAAGAGTATATTGTATGCTAGTTAGCCGTATGTGTTTTGTGATTACCGGGCGGGGCTCGATGCCGGGCAAAGCCCAGTAGCTGCATTGTATGTTATTGTTTATGATTTTTGTATGTGTTAGTATGGTTATGTGACATATGTTTATGAGTATATTGGGCGGGGCCTAGAAATAACATATATGTATACCGAGCGGAGCTCGATGCCGGGCGGGGCCCGAAGCCGAGTGGGAACTTGATACCGGTCGGGGCCTAGTATGTGATTTATTATGTATGGTATGTGGTATCTTGGGGAACTCACTAAGTTTTGTGCTTACAGTTTTCAGTTTATGTTTCAGGTACTTCGGTTTTCAAATGGAAGAGCTCGGGATGATTGCAGAGCACACACCACATGTTTCCGCATTCTGTGATTTACTCTGATAACGACGATGTATTAATATAGCTTTGATTACCTTGGTTTATGAAAATGAGATGATGTACTATTTAGTAATTTAAAAATGAAAAGTTTATGGGTCTTGTTTTGGGACGTTACAACTTCCCTTTAACGGACCACCTCACAGTCAATCTCATCGGTCGAGGCCTAGATCAATGCTTCTTTAACCTAACATAACCACCACACTGTCAGTCTTCATTGGTTTCTTCGCTTTTATCTTCTTCTCAATCGCTATTTTCGTGTGTTTTTAGTCGTAGTTCCGGTATATGTTTATATAGAGTTTGAATGTTTAAGAGTGGTGGTTTTTATTTGTGTTTTAATTGAGTTTGGTAAAAAAAAAATTGGGAAAAATAATTTAATTGGGGTGGATAGGTGTTGATTTATTTTTATTTTCAATAAATTATCTTAGGGAGTGACCAAAAAAGTTGATATATGAGGTAATAGCGGAGACTTGAAAATATAATGTCGGAAGTGATGGTGGACAGTAATGGAGGGAGACTCGAAAATATAATGTCGGAAGTGATGGTGGACAGTAATGGAGGGAGACGGGAGATAGGGTGGGTGGGATTGTGTGTGGTAAAACCTTTATAATTAAATTTAATGATTTTTAAATTTTTAAATAAGTTTAAAAAAAAATTAAATTAAAAATGATAAAATAGTCATTTATCATTTTTATAGTAATTTTACATGTTTATAAAATTGAAACCATAAAGACCATTCACATAAAATGGAGATTCACAACGACTTTTGTGTTACACATATGAATCAATAGTTATACATCCCCCCCCCCACCCCCCCTCTTCTTCAACTTCACACCATTTGTTCTTTATTCTCATCACGATATCTTCTCTCTCTCTCTCTCTCTCTCCTTACCTCTGTGGTCTTCTCTCTTCTTCATCTTCTCCCTCTGATGAAGTTGAAGAACCCTAAGCAGGGGTAAAAACATCATTACCACCCTTCCTCTTCTCCCCTCCCCTTAAACTCGAGAACACATTTATCCTTTCCTCATTCTCCTTCCATCTCATTCCCTTTCTTTCCCCTCCTCTCCCTTCCCTTCGCCCTCGTTAAAAATAATCTTGAGAACACGATGTTAATCTTACGTATCCCTCCCTCATTTTCTAAAGTAGCGTTCTTCTTAGAGCATTTTATATATCATGTTTCATTAATTTTTATTTAGCCAAAGTTATTGTTACAATCACTTAACATTTTCAAAAAGAAATTTAACTACTCTAATCTTATTTATCGTAAGTTATATAAAGTCCCCTCATATAACGTTACACATAAAGAAGATTAACTACTTGTAACACCCGGATTTCCAGGTATATTATTTTAATTATTTATTTTTGAGAATCATTGATCTACTCGACGAGTCGGTGCTATAACTCGTCGAGTAGAAGCGGGGTGGCCACGTAAGTTTAATGAACTACTCGACGAGTCCAAGAGTAGACTCGCCGAGTAGGCGTTGTGGGTGAAAACCCTAAATCCTCGGGCCTGTGCCCTATTTAAGGAACCGTATGGCCCTCATTTGCGGCTACCAGTCCAGAGAGAGAAACCCTAGTGAGCTTGAGCGTGTCGTGTGAGGAGAAGGGTTATTTTAATCCTTGTTGGTGTGGTTTTTGCAAAGAAGAAGGAGATTCCAGCAAAAGAAGGTCAAGGGGGTTGCTATTCTGTGGTTTCAAGTAAGGAAACTCCATCTCTGAGGTATTAAATCGAACCCTTCTTATGTTTTGGTGTAGAACCCTTGAATCTAGGGTTTTCTCTATCCTTTTTTGGCTTGGATATGATGCTTATGATGTCCCTTTGAGTGTTAAACTCTGCTCTGGACCTTGAGAGGTCCAGAGAGCCCTAACCTCCCTGCTTTATGCTACTCCATTAGAGATATGAACCTAGGTTGCCATTTACAAGCTATTTCACCAAAAGAAGCCGTATGTTGGTTGCATGAGTATAAAGTTGAACCTTTCCGTGATTATTGTGTATGGGAAGGTCAGATCTATAGGTTAGAGAAACAGATCTGACCTCAGAAGGTCGTTTGAGCATTCTCATGGAAGAAACTCGCCGAGTCCATGAGCGGACTCGATGAGTCGGATCGTGTTGCACCACGGTTCGTGTTCATGGGTAACCCGTCGGAGAAAGGTTGACTCGACGAGTCGAGTGAGGCCTTGAAGGATTCAGAGGACACGCATGGACTCGCCGAGTCACCTGAGTGCACTCGACGAGTCTGGTCAAAGTTTAACCGTTGACTGGGGTTGACTTTTAGGGTTTTGGTCAAACTGGTTCAAGAAAGGACAGGGAGGGGTAGAATGGTCTTCTACCCATTCTTTAGGAATAAGGACAAGAGTAAGTATTGATTAGAGATGTTATTATGTTGATAGGAGGAAGCTAGATCGGGTTATCGAGCAAGAGAGATTATCTGACATCGTACGAGGTGAGTCTTCTCACTATACTTTACCTGGAATGGTAACTATGAGTGACCGGAAGGTCTTATGTTTATGAGTTATGAAATGTGTGACCGGAAGGTCTTATGTGCTAGGACGAGTACATGATATATGTTCCTATGTGATATGTATATGTTATGTATGTTATGAGTAGCATGGTATGGACCGGAAGGTCAGTGTGATATGGACCGGAAGGTCAACATGGTATGGACCGGAAGGTCAACATGGTATGGATCGGAAGGTCGACAGAGTAGGATCGGAAGGTCGATGGAGTAGGACCGGAAGGTCTACTCCAAGAATGGGACCGGAAGGCCCCTGAGACACATTGACCGGAAGGTCTAGTAGAGTTATAGCCTCGAGTGGCTAGTTGTATGTGCATGGTATTTTGGGGAACTCACTAAACATTTATGCTTACCGTTTATGTGATATGTGTTTCAGGTACCAGCGAGGATCGCAGGAAGGCGCCGACATGATTTGTACACATTGATGGAGTTTTATGTATTGAGATCTTGGGATTGTTTTATTTGGATGACATATGTTACATTGGGTTTTGATGTATGAAATTATGTTTTAAAAACGAAAAATTATTTTGGAAATTTACGTTGTTACACTACTCTAACCTTATCTATCATAAGTTATATAAAATCCCCTCGTATAGAGTGATTTTTTAAAACACATTTTATATAACTTGATATTTTCAAATACATCTCATATAATTCAACATTTTTAAGCATACGTCATAGATAGACGGGGTGTGCGATGGATCTCCGATGGCGCTCATGTGTTGGATCTCGGTTGTTCTTCATCTTCATGGGTTCACGATGAGAGATGCGGTGGAGAGTAGGTTTATGACAGTGGACAACTATATAGATTAGGATTGTGTTCTTTGTGGGTTACTTGTTGGTTTAAGAAGAAAAAGAATGAATGATGACCATGAGAGAGAGAGAGAGAGAGAGAGGCCATACTTTATTTTTTATTTATTCAAATAATAAGATAATGTTAAAAAATGTAAAAAGAAAAAGGATAAATCAATATTTTCACCATAAAAAAAATTCATATTATAAACCTTTCATGCAAATTGAAAATATTTTGGATATGATTCACAGTTCTTTGCAAAGACCTTTGCACTTTACTCAAAAAAATAAAAAAAAAATAAAAAAAAAATAAAAAAAAGGGTTAATGCTTTAATTTAATGTCCACTTAAAAACATGTAGAAGGTCACCAGAGTAAATTTAAATGCAATAGTAACATTTTAAACTTAAAATAATTGTTTCTTAACAAAACGATAGTGGGTGTTTTTGGTATGATCTTATTGACCTTTAAAACACATGAACTCTCTCTGATTTGAAGTTCCGGAGCTTAAGGAAGCTTGGACGATAAGCGATTCCAGTGAAACATGGGTCAAAAAAATCCGAGTTTGCAATTGTTCCCTTCTCAAAAGAACACGCCAACAATTTGTCTTCATAATAAACCATCAAAATTGTTCCATCATTTAAACGTTCAATCAGACACACAGGTTCCCACATCAACCAATCTAAAGCAGGGCTAACACCTTCCTTGATCATCACCTCTCTATGCCAAGATTCCTTGATCCCATATTCCCTCATCACCCACAGCGTGAATTGAGACTCAAAGGTATCAGATTGACATAAACAACCTTTAAGAACTGCCAAACTTAGGAAATGGTGACTTCCTTGTATAGTTTCAACAGGAGGAGATGGGAACAACTTAAATGTCTCGTTATCCAAATCAAAAGCAAAAAGTTTTTCAGGGGAATCTTTGCCAAACACAGACCAATGAACATGGCCATTGAAAAATAGCCCAAAGAAACCTCCAATCGTGTAAGGGACATGACCAAGACTTCTCCATTTACCCATGCCAAGGGTGTAAACTTCAGCTTCTCTGATTCCAGATGTTGATGTAGGATTAAAGGGAATATCTCTTTGGTAGATCCGTATCACTTTGTATTCATGCGTAAGGGAACCGACTCCAAAACCATGATTGATTACCACATAACCTTGTTTATAGTATTGTTGATTTGGGAGGATCATATATTCTCTAGTGATTGGATTGCATATGAAATAGTTATCAGTTTTAAGACCATACTGCCATAGGCAGATCAGACCATTGACTGAGCCCACAGGATGTACACGAGAGTTTTGGAAAAAAGGTGAAAGATTAAGGTCAAGTCTCATGACAGGGTCTTGTTGTAAATGTTGGCGATCGAGTTTGTCTTTGATCTCCACCCACTTCAAAATGCCAGGTTTATGGTAATTACCATTCGTTTCTTTTTCTGAATTATGATGAATCATGAAGCCTGCAGGGGATCTCGATAGGTGAAGATCAGCAAAGTAAGAGTCGGAAACGAGATCCAGCCACTTCTTGCATACACACTTGCAGTGGATGATTGTCTTCACAGGAAGTCTTGACAGAATGTCGAACATGACAGGTACTGGTAAGTCTTCCATTGATATGACCTGTTAACAAACCCTAATTAAAATTCCCAACTAGCAAATTTAGGAACAGATTACTACTAAAAAAAATATGGCCATAATCCCGACAAAAAAAAATTGTTGCATAACCCTTACTAATTCAAAATTAAGACAAATTACTTCTAACAAAAACTTTACCAGCGGTAATTGATGATAATCTAACAAATCATAAACACTTAACAATTGACAACTAAAATCTCAATTAACAAAAACCTTACTACTGATAAATAATCATTACCATCTAAAACGAGCATTGATTATGAATATTTTATACCTAAAGAGAGATCAGGAGGCGAGACTCGAGAATAACTGAGAAAGAGAGACCCACTGACCGATATCGAAACGGAGAGAAGGTAGGAGCAGGGCTGGGCGCAGCGGGCGGTGGTTCATAGAGATGGAGGTTATTTTCTCCTTTCACACTTCAGGGCGGGAGAAAGAAGCACGCAGAGTGTTTTTCAGTTTTGATACGGGGGCGGGACTCGATGGAAATAGTAGCGGTTAGCAGACCCAAACCAAGAAATGGAGAAAACTACTAAAAGTAACCAAACCGAAACCGAAAAACCTGAAAATGAAGCAAAACCGACGGTTAGGGTTTGAATTTTTTAAAAACCGAAAAATCGGGTTCGGTTTCGGTTTTTACCCAGAAACCGACCCATACTTGATTGTGTTTTGGTTGTAATAAATTATTTTGGGCTTTGGTTGTAACTTGTAATAGACTATTTGTTGTAAAACTCATGTTTTTTTGAAGTATTTAACTTAAATTTGGTGTTTTTTGAACTTGTTGCTTCATTTATGGAAAATGAGTTAGAATCCAAAACCCATGGGTTTAAACCCATGCCGTGAGTGTATGAGTTGAACCCAAGAAACCGAAAAACCGCCCAAACCGACATCGGAACCCGAGAAACTGATCCTATTGGGTCCTGAAAACCAGAAACCGACCATTTATAGGTTGGGTTGGGTTTGGGTCCAAAACCGACCCGTGCACAACCTTAGGAAATAGTTCACTAAAAATTGTATGTTTTACATTTTATAGAACCTCATCTTAAATGTGTTAGAAAGATGAGTCAGTCTGTATCCCATCTATGAGTGAGTGGGTATATGTGTGTTCATCTTTTAGTTGAGTGAGCAGATACGAATAATAGCACCCTTTATATGTGTTCATCTTTTATGTGAGTGAGTGGATATATAAAATAACACCTTTTATATGTGTTCACCTTTTATCAGGGCGACTTTACATATTATAAAGTTAAGTTAGGGCTTAGGGCCCCATTTTGTAAAGAACCCTACTTACCCAAATCCTTTAATGTCGATTGTCGATACCTTCTTCTCCATTCACTCATATGCACGCCTCCATTCGCTCATATGCACGCATGACACCTCAAATCAAAAGCGACAATCACACTTCTATTCTTCTTCCTTCCTTCTCCATTCTTGCACTTTGAATATTGATTATCGATTATGGGCTTTTACAATCACGATTCTTAAACACTGAAAGGTTGCCTGAACCGCTGCAATTTTTTCCTTCTCCATTCTCAGCTTCTCTGATTCTTCATTGTTCAAAAACTCTGAGGATTCATTGATTCAAGGTATGTGCAATATTTTCACTTGATTTTTTTCATCATCTGATTATTTATTAGGATTAATAGTCGATTAGGGTTAATTTTTTCCATTATATGATTTTCCATTGTTTCTTGTTTATTGATTAATGCTCGATTTCTTTTTTTCTCATTGATTTTTGATTTTTGAGTTAGTGTTTCCACTCATATTTTGCATTGTTGGCTTGCTGCTTGAAGCTAAAGAATGTTGTCCTTTTTAATTAAAACACCGGAAGTTTGAGTTAGTGATTTTTTATTTCTTTGTTCCTTTGTTTATTTAACTTGAAGCTAAAGAATGTTGGTTATTGATCGTTTTCTATGTATGTGGCTTGTTCATTTGATTTCTATGTTGAGTTGTGCACATTTGAGTTAAAAATAATCATACAAGTTTGAGTTCTCCATTTAATTAAAACTCTACAAATATGAAGTTTAAATAGAAAAAAAAAACAACCTTCACTTTTATATTTGTTTTTATTATAGAATTTAAGTATAGTATAGACCAAAGGGCCCCAAAAATTTGGTTCGTTTAGAGCTCCCAAACTCGTTGAGCCGCCCCTGCCTTTTATATGAGTGAGTGGATACGAATAATAGCACACTTCCTAGAATCATTTACATTTTTTGGCATGTATGATAAAACTAGTTGGTAGCTGATAGCTAAAATTGTAGCCTTTTACTTTTATTTATACATTTGTGTTTGGCAAAAGTAGTTATTAGCTTATAAATGTGTAAAATTAGTTAAAATTTCCGAAAAACTAAAAGCTTATGCTGTCAAATAAATATATTTTTTTCTAGTTTTTTCTTAAAAACTAAAAGCTTTAAAAAGTTATGTCAAATTAAAATAGGAATAAGATTTATAAATATTTCATCGTTGGAAATATTCTCACTTAAATTTACCATTGTCACACCAATAACAAAACAGAGAGAATAGTTGATTTTGATTGATGATGGTTGTGTATAAGTATATATTTTGTGATGTATGACACTATGTGTCTTTTATAGTGGAGAAAACTTTATAGTGTCTTTTACTTGGAGAATAAGTTATGTGTTTGAACATGATTGGACCGATCGTAAAACCTCTTACAACAATGGTGGTCGTATACATAAAAGCTTGGATTGTGTTTTATTTTTGGGAGATGATGTGTATATAACAAATTTTTTCCATACACAACAATTTATGCATTAAAGTATTGTATTATACAACTCTATAAAAACATAAATTGTTGTGTATGGAGAAAAATTGTTGTGCACGAATCACTTCTCTTTATTATTAAATAAAGTTTAGGTTAAGCTTGAGCTTGTAACAAGATAAGCTTGAACGGATCAGTTGTTTACGTCCTTATTTGAACACATAAGTCCAATGGTTTAGGACAACATATTAATTTCACTAGTTGAGCATCTTAACCCTAATGATGCTTAAGTTTGGACCCCAATGGTTAGGCCAAACCACCCCAAGAAATTAGCCATAATTTTGAACTTTATAATTTTTTATGATTTGAAAGTCAAGTCCATTTGAAGTTGTATTGCTTTCTCTTGCATTTCTCATGAACATGTTGATAAGTTACTAACTTACTAGACACCATATTAGGTTTTAAATACTAAAAGTATTTGAGAACTTCCCAAAAATGTCTAAGGATTAAGAATTTGATATGAAGGTAATGCTAATGGCGGGTTCATTTTAAAAAATACATGGTTTATAGGTTTTAACCACACTATATGTACTAATATGGCATGCTTTTGTGTAATGTATAATTTGTCAAACAATAAGGCTTGAGAGAGTGGACTCGCCACCCCTCTCGCCAAGCAAGTCGTTAAGATATCAAACACCACCCTTTAAGATTCAATAAAGGAGGTGCTAAGAATGGGTCGCCAAGCACGTAGCAAGAGGAGAGAGAAAATGTATTGGTGGATTCTGATTTGTTCATAGCTATTGTTTTCTCTCTTTTTTCCCCTTCAAAATAAACTATGTTAATTTAACACACAACCACTCCCTATGAAATGCTAAGAAAAACAAGCTAGTGAGTTGGCAGCAAAAATATAATGTGGCAGCACAAAAAATGATATGCCGGTGTGACAAGGGTGCTACCACTCCCTTCAGCCTAAGTGAAACCAGCAACAAAATAGATCACTTTTAAAATCCCATAATAAATCCCAAATTGAAATGTAAAAGGGCAATAGTAACATGTTGGACATCAAAAAACTATGCTTACACAAACTTGACAACGGATGCTGGTTATAGAACTATTTTTGACATTTAAAACACATGAACTCTCTCGTTTTTAAAGTTGTGTAGTCTATGAAAGCTAGGACGATAAGGCAATCCGTTGAAGTAGCCACCAAATACTTCCCTATCTACAACTGTTTTCCTCCGAGGACAGTAAACAATTAGGTTACTTTCATTATTTGCCATCAAAAAAGTTCCATCTTTAAAACCCTCAATTAGAAAATTGGGTTCCAAACCCAACATATCAAAATCAGGTTTGATAATATATTTGATCACCAACTCTTTATGCCAAGAATTCTTGATCCCATATTCCTTCATCACCCAAACAGTCATGTTAGAATCATAGGTGTCACATCGACATAAACACCCCTTTAGGACTCCCAAAGTTCCTCCAAAACTTTCTTCTATAGCTTCATAGGGAGGTGAAGGGAAGAGCTCAAATGTCTCTTTGTCAAAATCAAAAGCACAAATTTTTTCAGGGAAATCGTTGCCAACAAGGGTCCAATGAGCATGCCCATTCAAATATGGCCCAGAGCATGTGCTAATCCAATACGGGACATGACCAAGACTTCTCCATTGTCCTGTGCCAAGAGTGTAAACTTCGGCTTCTGATTGAGATAGAATTACCTGAAATGTTGAGATGAAATCTGGAGGTATAAGCTTTTGGAAAATCCGTATCACTTTGTATTCTCGTGTAAGTGAACTGACACCAAAACAATAGACACTTGTTGAATCTCGTTCAATATAGTATTGTTGCCTCGGGAGGATCATGTATTCTCTGGTGATTGGATTGCATATGTAAGTGTTATCTTTTCCCTTACCAAGCTGCCACAGGCAGAGTAAACCATCGACTGAGCCCACAGGGTGTATTTGAGACTCTTGGAAAATGGGTGCAAGATTAAGATCAAGACTCATGACAGGGTCATGGTGTAAACGGTGGTGATCGAGTTCGTCTTCAACCTCCACCCACTTCAAAATGCCTGTTTCAAAGCCACCTGTCATTTCTTCTTCAGAATTACGATAAATCATGAAGCCTGCAGGTGATCTCGAGAGATGAAGATGAGCAAAGTAAGAGTCCAAAACTATATTCAGCCACTTTTTGCATACACACTTGCAGTGGATGATTGTCTTCACAGGAAGCCTTGAGAGGATATTGACCATGATAGGTACAGGTAAGTCTTCCATGGATATATCCACAACAGACATTGTTTTCTAGATTATGACGGGGGCATGGCAGATCGAGAATAGTTAGTAATTAATACAAACTTTACCAGTAAAAAAACTTACTATAAATTAACGGAAATTAGTACTAATAAATAATATATATCAACTAAAAGTAGTAGTGATTGAGAATAATATTTATACCTAAACAGAGATCGAGAGGCCAGAAAGGAGAGCAGCTGAGAAAGAGAAACCAAGTCACCACCCGTCGAGTCCCCGAGAGACGTCGCAGCAGTGCGCTTGGTGCAGCGGTGGTGGTAGGTGGTGGCGCAGAGGTTTTTTACTCGACGGAAAGAAGCGGCGGAGAGGGAGACTGAGAGGGTTTTTTGTTTATGTGACAGAGATCCGAGACGCGGCAGGACTCGAGGGAAAGAGGTAACGCTCAAAATTGGGGTTGGCCTAAACTGGACTGTCTTTTTCATTTACGACGTGGGCCCATGTTACTTTAAATCCGCCCACGCAATATGATAATAATACCTTATCTCGGCTGTAGTATAGGCGCGGGAAAAAAACCGGTTCAAGATCCAAACCGATTGCCGAACCGAAAACTGGTTCAGCCCTGAATCGGTTCACCTAAGAACCGAACAGAGTATGAACCGAACCGTCGGATTTAACCAATTCATGTTTTTTACCGTTAAGACCGCTTTGGAACCGAAACGGTTTCGTCTGAACCAGTTTCATAAGTGACCGTTGGTGAACTGGTTTTGAAGAATATGCCCGTTTTTTTGTTTTTTCCTACCGGCTATATAGGCATTTGAGGCTTTGTAATACCCAATTTTGGCTCTTTTTTTTTTACCATATTAACCATTCCTTATAGTATATATATGTATTAGATGTTTAGCTCTCAACTTTACTGTAACACTCCGTTTATTAAATAAATAAATACACAAATTAATAAATGAATAGTAGTCCTAAATGCGGAATAATTTAGCAATGCGTTGGTTTTGGGGGTTAAAAAGTCATAATTGAGAGTTTGGGGGTTATAATGTAATTTTCGGATTCATTTGTAAAGAATTTTGATAGTTGAGGGTTGTTTAGTAAATTATGAGTTTAATTTGAAAGGTTTTTTGAAGACAGGGGCTGCTTGGTAATTCTTTGGCTACCCTTGAAAACTATATTTGAAAACAATTTTGAAAATTATTTTGAAATTTTTAACAGATCTTTAGTTTAAGTCTGGATTCACACGAATGATCATCCAATTCTCTCAAACTAGGACTCTAATACCAACTTGTAACATCCCAAAAATCACAATAAATTTTTTCATTTTTAATTAAAGTAAAATCATTGTTTCCAACCAAAACCCAAGTCATAAGAAACCAATGTCAAGTACAAATATTCCAAAAACAATGTATCATAATATCTCCAAAATATGTCACCGAAGGATGTGTATGATCACGCCTTTGCATTGCCCCGATCATCTAAAGTACCTAAACCATAAAACTTAAACTGTAAGCCAAAGCTTAGTGAGTTCCCCAAAATACCAACACAAAAATATATAACAGCATGCATACTGGGTCCACAACCATCGAACTAGATTACCCTTGATCCCACAACATGAGTCTGACTTGCCTTCCTGGCCCACAACTCATGATTGGATTGCTCCCGAGTGTAACGATCCAAAAATCTCCTTATTAACGATGTTAGTCTTCCGTTATATAGTATTAAGTTTTACTTGTGTTTCGCGTAGGATTATATATTTTGTAAGTCTCCAATCTGCTTGTGTATCAATCAGGTTCGTTTGATGGTGCGGAATCCCAATCAAACGGATGATGCCAGATCAAAATAGAAGAGAAGGAGAAGAAGAATAAGGGGCTGTTTGATTAACATCTGACCGAGTCGAGTCAGACGTTTTTGGCTGACTCGGTCAGCTGATGTTGTTTGATAACCCAAATCTAAATAGCTGACTCGGTAAGAGATATCTGACTGGAAAAGCTAGGGAAAATTGGCTGACTAGAAGCGTTCCAAATATACCCTTGACCTAACGTTTCTTTTCAGCGCCTAAAAAAAACCCTCCTCCTCCTCTTTCAGCGACAAGAACAATTAAAGCACCGAACGATCTCAGGGGCTGAGATTGACGAGCCTGCCCTCCACCGATCGACAGCCTTCCCTCCACCGATCGACACCCCTCTTCTCATTACTCATCAGGTACGCTGATCTTCTTCTCTTTCACATATGTTTGCTGTTTTTTTATCCGATTTTTTCTACTCTGTTCATGTTTGTTCTTAATAAATTTTTTTTTCTGATCTATATATGTTTGTTGTTAATGAAGCATTGTTTGCATTATGAGAATTTTTTTTCTGATCTGCATATGTTTGTTGTTAATGAAGAACTGTTCCAACATAGATTACGTAAACTGAGAAGAAAAATCTTTTATTGAAAATATTATGTGATTCTCCCTAATCTATTCCTAATTAACCTAAACAATCAATTTGAAACTTGTGTTTGTAATCATAATTTATGATTACAAATATAAATCATTTATAATTGGTATGAGAAAAACATGTGAAGACCATGTGAAAACATATGGTGTTCAAAAAATTAAAAGGAACATTTTGTTGCAAGAAGAACAAACACTTGAGAAACCTGATCAAATCAATGTGAATAGTATTTGTGAAGACTTTATGCAAATAAAGTAGTTATTAACTTGCTGCATTGTTCTCTTTCAAAAAAAACTTACTGCATTGTTATTATCCGTAATAATAAAGTAGTTACTGGCTTACTGCAATAAAATCAAATTACTTAATTGTCCATGAATCTCTTTTATGAACTTGAACCATAAAGCATTGTTATTATTCACAAATCTGTCATTTTTCCAAATGTAAGGCTATGAAGATGACTTTGTTAGCGGTAATTGATATGTGGGGATACGTTTGTTTTTTGAATATTATGTTTTTTTGAAACTTGAATATTGAATATTATGTTTTTTTGAAACTTGATTATTAAATATTATATTTTTTTTGGAAGGCAAGTTAATTAGATGTAAGAATTATGAATTGCATCGTCATTAGTTTCACCTTATTCATAACCGGTTCTTGTTTGGAAAAATAACCGAAAAACCGGGACCGGAACCGGACCCGGACCACCACCGACATTGGAACCGGCATGTATATAATGACTTGTACATTAAGGATTAAGAGCAAAAAAAGAAATTATCTTTAAATGGTGTTTGTGATATCTTTGAAGTAGCACAAAGCTATATTGATATTGAAAAATCAAATATTGTTTGTGCATTTTTGGTTTACATTCAAAAGCTAAGAATGGACAAAGTCAAATTTTTTGACGATTCACTCCATGGAACGTACCTGTTTCAATAGACTCTATGTTTTTATTATAGACATGTCACATTTCCATAAAATATGAAATTAGAAATCAGATTTTTTTTTAGGATGTTGGTTTGGAACGAGAGTGAGAACAAAACTTTTCTTGATGCATGTATCCATGAACTAACCACTAATGGTCGTGAGGGTTCTGGGCTTAAGGCAAGTTCATGGAAGACAATACGCGAAAAATTGATAAACGAACACGGTAAAGAGGTTGATCAGAAGCAAATGAGAAACCACTTTGACTACTACAAATCAAAGTATGTTGCTTGGGTAAAACTGAAAAACAAAACCGGCAATATATATGATCCTATAAAAAACAAATTTAATTTGACCGATGAACAATGGAAGGAAGAGGGGAAGGTAATATTTTTATAATAAATACTAGTATGATTATTTTTTTAACATATACTAATATTTATAAAAATTGTAACAGTTGAACAAGTTCGTGTTGTCATTGAAAACTAAACCCCTGTTGTTTCCTGAACTTTGCACCCAACTATTTGAAGGGTCGACCTCAACCGACTTTCAAAGTTGGGGGCCATCTTCTACACTCCCTCGTCCTGTAGAAGAGTTTAGTGCCCATGATTTTGATGATGATGTTCCAATGGAAACCTCAACACAACATGTAGGTGCAAGTGAAGAATCTTCGGGGCGTTCAAAAAATACGGAAGTTGGAAACAAAAAAATTGGTGGGAAAAAAAGAGATGCAAGGGCATTAGAAGTTGAAGGGAGATTGTCAAGCTTGCAAGGTCGTTAGTGGAAAAAAAATGAAAGAATTGAAAAAAGTGAAATGGATAAGGATGTTGATGCGTGTATGGAGAAATTGAACAAAATGGAATGGGGAGAAGAAGATGAAAGACACAAGACTGCTCTTTTGCTATTTGGTGAAAGTGCTGATGTTAGAAAAGTTTGGTTACGACTTTCACATACTAGTTGTGAGTCGTGGGTGATGGGTGCGGGTAGGAAGTATGGTTACCTTTGATGGGTGCGGGTAGAAAAGTTTGGTTATTAGTTTTTTGTTGCATGACGTTTTGTTATTTGCATGACTTTTGGATCATATGTTTGATACTTTTTTGGATGATACTTTGGATGATGTTATTTGCATGTCTTTTGGATGTTATTGGATATTGAATATGACGTTTACTATTTTTTTTGGTGCATGATTTTTTTTTACTTTAACATGTTACCTAATTGTTTGTAACAGGTCAAGTATGGTTTCTGATGGTGAAGTTGTAGCTTTTCTTTTACTTGTGTTTTATTGGTTGAGGTCAAACCGACGCAGGCTAATCAGAATTCATAGAATTAGAGATAACGATTCAAGCGGGTATGCGTATACGCAAGATTTGATGTACGGAGACCCTACACAATGTTACGATATGATGCGTCTTACACAAGAGGCATTTGCATTATTATGCAACCATTTTACCCAAAAAAATTGGTTGCAAGCTAGTAAAACAATAAGCATTGAACAAAAGATGGCTATATTCTTACATATTATAGGACATAATGAACGTTTTCGCGCGGTTAAGGGAAGATTTCATCACTCCACACAAACGATTCATCAATGTTTTCACGAGGTCCTAACTGCAATGATGTGTTTTGCAAAAGCAATTATAGTACCAACAACTCCTAATCCAACAAGACATAACTCGGAACGATATAGACGGTTAAAAAATATTTTTTTCGGAGCAATAGGTGCATTAGATGGAACTCTTGTACATGCAGTTGTACCCGTTGATCAACAAACTCGTTATAGGGGACGAGGAAAAGGAGAATGTTTTCAAAATGTTATAGGAATTTGTGATTTTGATATGATATTCACCTTTGTTTGGGCTGGATGGGAGGGTATAGCACATGATTCAAGAGTTTTGAAAGAAGTTGCATTCAACTCGACTTCTGGATTTCCATTTCCTCCACCGGGTTTGTAATCTTTATATAACTTTTATTATCTATCTTTTTTATATAATATGTGTCACATTCATTTGCAGATAAATATTACCTTTGTGATGCCGCATATACAAACACTCGTGGGTTTATGGCTCCATACCGCAATACTAGGTATTGGTTAGCCGATTTTCGAAGAGGCAGACCTTTAACTA